CATCCTGTGATGTGATGATGCTTTCTTCAGTCCGTGTTACGCTGGCATGGCAGATGGCGTCCGGTAGTCGGGGTTTCGATGGCGCTGGGTCTGCCATGCTTAAAGTCTGTTCCATCAGTCCAAAAGAGGTGCGGTATTCGTGTGAACATGGATGGCTTGGACATGGGGGGGTAAGGTGCCATTTCCTACCAACTGTGACAGCGGTCTCGAGTGACAAAGCGGTACATGGCAGACTCGAACGCTTCCCGCCCTCCTCATCAAGCCCAGCCAAGAGCTGTGGGAAAAGACATACCATTCCTCTTTGGGGCCCGTCTCAGCGGGCCAGGCTTGACTCCTTGAGGCTTGGGATGACTTTTGGGGCGTTGAGCGGGTGCAGGGGAGGGAAAGGTCTTGGTGGGGCGACACTGTGCAGGGCTCGTCCCCCCGTCCAATCACAGTTACAGCGGCAGGGCTACCTAGAAAACCTCGTTGATCCCTCGACCCTCTCTTTCTCTCTCTCTCTCTCTCGCTCTCTCTCGGTCCCTCTTTCTGAGTGTGTGTGTGTACCTCCTCCAGTGTGTGTTAGTTGTGTGTGTGCCCGTCTTGCCGTCTCTCCCACCGTCTCCAGGTACCTGCCTTGCCTGCCTGCCTCCCTCCTCCAGGTGCCCTGGTGAGGTGCCTGGCGCGTGCGAGGCTTTGCAGTGTCCCCCCTCGTTCTCGCTTCTGGCTTTTCCCCCCTTCTCATTCCCATTCCCATGCCCATCAGCATCCGCCCCCCTCCACGTCAACATTTCCCCGTCTCCCGTCTTCCGTCTGCCCACCCCGTGGCCCCCCGTCAAAGTCACCTACCAGCTTGCTCGCCTCTCATCGAGGTCCCACACACGCCCAGGCCCAGCCCAACCCCAGTAAAGCAACCCAGCCCACTCTGACGGCCAGCCAAAGTAACCCGGCACCCAGCGAGCGCCCAGTACCACCAAGCACTAGGTACCTAAGGAGGCACCCACTCCTCCTCCTCTCCCCCCCCCCCAGAAGTGCCCAGCCGAACCCATCCATTATTACCCACACCTGTTCGTCCTGTCGGGTGACCCGGACTTCTCGTCTGTCACTCTTCACCTCCATACACTTTGTCGACTACGACCTCAATCAAGCCCGACGACCACGACCACGATCGCATCCTCCCCGCCAAAACCTGCGGCCGCTGCGGTCAAATGGTCGTCCTTCGAAATCGACGACAATCTCCTGCCGTCGCCTCTGGACGC